AGCCCAATTGTTTTTTCAACCGTCGGTTGTTCCGATTGACCTCGTCGGCTAATCGGGCCGGTTGTCAAGGGGGACTCCTTCCTCTCCCAACCAATCGAAAAATCGACTAAATTATTAATAAAAAAAAAAACCCATCGGGCCCTCTTTCCCCGCCCTGGACCCTCACTAATTCCCCCCTTCTGAGTCTCGACCTAATTCCCCCCATCGCCAACCTAACTCCTTCCCCCCTCCTGCGAATCTTGACCTGATTCCCACCCCCCACCCTCCCGCGAGTCCCGACCTGATTTCCCCCCCCCCTTCCACGAGTCTTGACCTAATTTCCGGCTCAAAAACCGACCAAAACCGATTTCTAAAAAACAGACCGAAATCGACTTTACATCATTGCAGTTCGGTCGATTATATTGTAAAAATTTTTTGTCGGTTTTGACGAAAAACCAATTGAAACTGACCCATGCACACCCCTAGGTTTAGGGCATCTTAAGAGTATGTCAAGTATTAAAAACATTATCCAAATTTGTCCCATAATTGAATATAAAGTACCCAAATCTTATAATATCGGATTGATATTCATATGACAACAACTCATTTATATTTATAATCTTAACCGTATAAACACGATTAATACACAACACGTAATAACTCTAAATTCAAACCTATTTAAGATTGTGTTGCTTTTAATATCGTATTATCAAATCAAATTCAAAATTGTCAAATCTAAATTGTGGCAAAAGACAAGAGTAATAAAAAGATGAAAGGGTGTTTTACTAATTAATGGATTGATCTATTTCATAATGCCATGTGGTTTGCTATAACTGCAAAGGGAGAATCCAGCTACATACATCTGTCCTTTCCCATGTAGCTGTCTAAAATTCGTTTGTTGTTGGGTTGCCTGAAAATTAAATTAGTACAATAGAAAACCTCGGATCAAGATTAGTGTCATTAGATTAGGCAACAACCTTTGATGCTCTGTTTGGCGTTACTCCTAGGATTAGTGTGTCCTTGGATAGTGCACCGTGTTCGTTCCTTCCTTGGACAGCACGAGACCAATTCACAGGAAAAGACAAACAGCCGAGACGGAAAACTATGTTTCTGTTTTACACTTCGAAGACCATACACTTTTACTTCACTTCTTCCTATGTCTTAAGTTCCGAGTCAATCAATTAACGGTCTAACCCAAAGTTTTACACTTTTACTTAAGTCTGCCGCTGGTTAATATTTTAATTTCTTTATTTTTTTATATTTAAAAATAAAAAAAATAAGAAACACATTAAGATATTAAATCAAGACCTAATACTTTAAAAAGTTCGTAAATTATTTAAGAAATTTAAATAAGATTTTATTCTTATATTACCTTTAATCATGTATTTATATTTTTATTTCAAAGCAAATAGAAATAAAAATATCATTTGTCATTTCTTATGTCATGTGGAACTGATATGAAGAATGAAAATATCATGTGACTATGTCGTTAAAATAAAAATATAAGAATTTGATTGAATTTAATAAAAAAATATTTATTTAAATTTTTTTAAATAATTTAGGAGTTTTTTTATGTATTATATCTAAAAATCAAAATTCCTTTTGAAAGATTTTATACAAAATATGTAATCTTTTTAGACGACAAAATGCATTATTATACTTTAATATAGACTGAATATATTGTGATTGGTATTGGGTTTTAATTTTTTTTATCCATTTTAAATCAATTATTATAATAATCGTCACCTTTTCTTTTTATTTTATAATAATTCTTTAAAAAAAAGTAAATAGTAAAAAATAACTAACAAAAGAATATCCCAATCTTTCTCATTATGGTTAAGTTTAAGAGGTGACTCCTGTATTTTATGTAATAATTTGCCTTATGTAACACTTAGCTTCTATACTTCGAGTTGACACTTATTTTGATATTAATAGTGGAGATTAAGTACTAAAACTTAACTTATAAGTTATTTTTTACTTTAATTAGAGTGTCCGATAATTTGGGATTATAAAAAATACTTTGTTCAAGTGTAGCTTTAAATCTTTACATATACACTAATTCTTGATACAGAATTTGAGAGTATCATAATCATCCCACAATGAGTTAATGATCCATATTTCATTTTTCATGCATCTTAATATGTCCAAAAAAAAAATTTATAAAGTCGAGAGTCGAAAGATAAAAAGTGTGCAAATTATATACTTCTATAATCATCAAACTATTCAAGGTTGGAGATTTGGACCCTGTTAAGGAATATAATTGCTAAGCCAAATTGAGTCAAATTTGTGTTATGAAGGTTTTCACGAGTATATTTAAAATCGGGAGGTTTTCAAAAAACAAAATGTTCATCTTATCTTTTTGAAATGTTTTAAAATGAAGTTATTTCCTTGCTACCAAATCTCATTCTTACCAATCAAAATTCAAGGAGAAAAATTGCAGTAAGCATACTGACAAGCTTCAATATTCATTCTTTTTTTGTGGAGGTTTTCAAAAGTATATTTAAAATGGGTCAAAATATATAACTGAGAAACTAAAATGAGTCAATTTTGTGTTATGAATGTTTTTAAAAGTATATTTAAAATGGGGAGTGTTATTATATTATTTTATTGATAAATAATATTTTTATTTTGTTTTAGTTCTAAGAATATATAAATATATTATTATAAAATAATATTTATTATTTTAATAATAAAATAGTTATTAAAATATAATAATTAATAGACGGATTGGGCTAAATTTAGGCTCGACTTTAAAGTGAGAAGCCCATAAACCCAATCGAACCGACCCAATACGATCCATGAACACCTTTAATTGAGAGTGAGACTAATAAAAATAAAACATTTTTATCTAACATTATCTCATTAATTTACATTTTAAAATTATATTATATATATATTTGTTTTCTATTGATGTCTCCAAATATATATGATTTCCACCCATAGAAGAAATTATAGCAAATGTAATCTTGAAGTAAATCTATGAATCAGTTAATCAATTAATCAATCTATTTATAGTGATAAATTTTTGGAGTTCAATTTTGAATTAAATTTCTAATGACATATTGGGGCTCCTAGGCAAGGCCTGCCAAGCTTGGATTACAATTAATTAGTTGTGGGTACAGGACTAGTCAAATTTGGTCTCCTCTTTCAGTGGTCAACAGTCTGAACAAGAAGAGAATCAAAATGCAGTAAGGGCTTTGATTACAACCTTTTAAAAGTCTGAATGGGAGCTTGATTTGTTGAAGTGGGAATGGAAGTTGTATTTTCAAAAGTTTAAGCAAAAATGAACCCAACATGGCTTTAGAACTTTCCTTGATGTTGCATGCAGTTGATCATGGGAATTATTTAATTCAAAAGAAGGTTACTCAACGAACAAACCCTAATATAATTTTAGGTTTAGCTGCAAGACCTTTTCTCTAGTCAGAAACAGTGAACCCATAGTAATAACCATTTCATATTTCATAATCTTTCTTGACTTTTGATTAATTAATTAATTAATTTGGATGTAAACTTTGGTGATCTTCAAAATGGGCATAGCTAAATTGGACATCACTTAATTTTTTATTTTATAGAAAGAATTTGAATTTAAAACCTCCTTGTTTATAATGAAGGGTATTTTTTATTGACCTTGCACTTTTGTCTTTACTATTTGTATTTCTTGACAACAAAAATAAACAATGCATAAAAAATATCGAAAAATAAATAAAAAAAATTAAGTGTTTGGGATTATTACTGTCAAAAAAAATTATAACAAAATTAAATGATGTATAAAAAAATAAATAAAATTGAGTTAAATGTATACGTGTAATTATTTTCTTTTTTCATAAAGAATCATATTTAACAGTAGAAACAAGAAATGGGCCTAGGATTGATAACAAACTCATTGCAATTGAAGGTTTTGACCATTAATTTTATTTTATTTGGCACTACATTTGTAACCAAATGAAGTTATTGTGATAAGATATAACTCCAAATGTAATGCCAAATAAAGCTTTTCTACTTATGAAAATAATAATACAAAAAATCATAGATGCAATATAATTTTAATTATTTAAGGTTCAATTTAGTATTACCATTGCAATTAAAGTTCACTACAATCAAGATTATGATTTTATGCATTATTGTTACGAGCATATTAATTACAATTTTTTTACTATATTTTCAACAATTATATATTCAATAATAAACATATATTGTGTGAAGACTTATCAAAATTTTAAATTGACAATCAACTTAAGTTTTTGTAATTTTATTTTAAATTAAATAAGTAGTTATGATTAATAGTTGAATAATTATCATTAGTTAAAATACGATGCTAATATAATGTGTAAGTAATGTTATGTAATTATATCATCATGTCTTGTTAGCATGCCGCATTAATGTATTGTATTATCATCAACTATTACATATCAACATGCAACGTCAACACCATATGGTATAAAATGGTAAATTATGTTTTAACTATAATAATTAGTTAACGTTAATCATAAAGGTCTATTTTAGATCCAAAATAAATAATTTTTTTTAAATAATTCAAGAGTTTTTTAATATATTATGCTTTTTATATTTCGTAAAACCCACCGTAATATTTTTGATAAAATCCGGCAATTACGATGAAATGCAACTTGAATGGCAATATTAATCAAATTTGGAGAAAAATAACTTATAAAATATGAGATAAAGTTGATCACAACATCAACAATAAACAAAGATGATATTATTCATCTTAAAAAAAGGAAAATCAACCGCGTTGTGCATTTGAAAAAAAAAAAAACATATCAAAACAAAACCCCAAACGTAGTTAAGATATATTCATATATATGAGACAAAGTCAACTTAAGGCTTGAGAAAAAGACGAGATTTACCGGAACATTCGATAACAAATTGCTTCAACTTCAGCATGATGTGTCCTTTTAGGAATGTTCCGAGCTGTGGGAGAGTGACTGCTGGGGCCAACTCCCCCTCTTTGCTTATCGTGTTCCACGACATGTTCCCCACGTGTCAAAATGTAAAAAGACTATAATACCCCTCCCTACGAAGATGCCTCCTAATGTGATCATGATCCATAGAGCGAATCACCGAAATCCCACAGCTTCCTATAAATAAAGAACGTTCGATTTTCATGTTTTATTTTAGTTGAAAGAAATCCTTCCTATGAACAAACCCATCAAGGAAGAAGAAGAAGAAGAAGAAGAAGAAGGGAGATTATGAGCCCTACACAATTTCATGATCTCCACCACCACCACCATGCAAAGAAGGATACGATGTCCAATGGTAATGCCGCTGCCCTGTGCCCTCCGCCCCTGAAAATCAACAAAGACTCTCATTTGATCAGGAAATCATCATCTTCGTCGTCATCCTCGTCGGCAGCCTCCTCCCTAGGCGTCACCGGCACAGCCAAGCCTCCTCAACAGCAGCAACGCCACCCTGTCATCATCTACACGCACTCTCCCAAAGTCATCCACACGCACCCCAAGGATTTCATGGCGTTGGTGCAAAAGCTGACGGGGCTTTCACGTAGTGAAGATGACAATCATCATAATCATCACCATCACCACCATCACCATCATCATCATAATAATAACCATCACGACGCGCCTCATCAACCCAAGGTGGAGAACGGTGCCGCCTCGGCGGAGGAAGATAGCAAGAGGATCATCAATGACGATAATGATTCATCATCGGTTATAACAGATGAAAACGGTGAAGGGCAAGTTAACTCTTGCTTTGTACCGCCTTTGTTTGATCCACCACCAGCTCCATTTTTGACAAATATCCCAGTTTTTACGCCCAATTCGGCTGATTTTCTGTGCGTGAATCAGCCTTTTTATAATTACACGGATTCATTGTTCTTCACACCAAACATGAGGAGCTCCATTTCATCTTCAGGGTTGGAGGGGATGAATGAGTTTCGTGATTTTTGAAGTTTTGATTTTTTTTTTTTTGAGTCTTCTGTTCATTAATTTATCATTAATTTTTTTCGGGTAGTTTTGATTATTTGGTTTTATGATGCAAATAAGGGCTTCTGATTTTGTTCATGGAACTTCATGAGGAATAAATTTTTTACATTTATTGATTAATATCCATAGCTTTAATGATATCATTTGGATGAGACAATTAATTCTCTATTGCTACAATCTTTATTCCTCTGGTTTCTCTTGTGATCAAGAAGAAAGATTTCCTCTCCATTTTCAGCTGGAAAATTGGAAATTGAAATCAGAAATGGTTTTTGTTACAAACTGGGAGGAAAAGGGATATGGCAGTTTATATTTGCACAGCATCTGGTGAGAGGATAAGAGACCTTTCAGCAGTAAAAATGTCACATTATCATCTGATATTCTCTTTGCAGCTTTCGACCTAATACACTCCTAGGTGTTTTATGATCTTAGAATACATAAGCAGAGATTGTGTTGTAGATTTCATCCTATTTTGTTTCTGTTTATTTCAAATTTCAAATTACAATATAATTTTTCGAGAGATCTCCTAAATCTCTCTATATTTATCTTAAGATTCGAAAACTTGTTAACATAAAGTCTTAAGCTCTAAGATAATCAAAGGCAAAGCAATACATTATGGCAAAGGAAAAAGAAACAGCCTTAAACATCTTATGAATGATTATACATATCATTAGATCAGAACTACCAAGGCAGGATTTCCAAGACAAACAAATGACTTTTCTCTTTGCTTTCCTTATTGTTGTTTCCTTCCCCATTTTTGAGATCTACACTTCCTAGAGTTCTGTGATACAAATCCCATTACTTTACATGCACAATTATGTACAGTTAAAAATGAACACATCATCACTTTCTCTTCTTATCTTCCTTTTCTCTTTCAAGGACCACTGGGGCTGCTGGGATGCTGAACCACCACTCTCTCAATCTCCTCATCCATCTTTCCGTGCTTGTTTTCCTTGGTGGTGAATACCTAGTAAATGTCTCCAAAAAGATCAGGAGAACCATGTACTTACTAGGCATCAAGGCCAGAATCAAGGCAGTGAACAGAAGAGTAACTGCAAATTTCTCGCTTGCCTGGTAGATTAACATCATGTTGGCAAAATCAGCAGAATATAAAATTGGTCTCGTAAGTTTATGTGATTATTTAAATTCAAATAATTGATACTGCTGATCCGTTTTAAAGGTGAGAAACTGACTGAACAAGTAGGGACAAACTAAAAGAATACAACCTGTGGGAAAATGGACAGCAACAAGGCACGGAACTTGAGGAGAACAACGTTTCCGTCTTGGATAAGCTGTTCAACTTGAGATATTGCATTCTGAACAGCCAAAAGCTGCTCCATTGTGTTCATAGGTGGAGGTGCTATTATCTTGATTTCCTCCGCAGGCCGGCCTTGGTTGCAAAATCGCGTAAGAACCATAAAGATTGCAAAAAAGAGGAGCATCAATGCAAATGCATAACCCAGCCAACCCCTGAAATGGACGCCAAATGAATTCCAATGAAGATGACAATGAGAATGATGCATGCAAGGAAGCCAAATGTGATATGAAGATCAATATGAAGCCAACTCTATTGTGCTCTATATGCCAAAATGTTTTCTGTTTAGGTCAACCAATATCCCTTCTTTATACAAGAAGAACAAATATTTATGGTCAGCACAGTGCTTCCCCTTGTAACAAAGCATCATGACCTTCAAAGTTTACTTTTCTTTCACATGAACCTTCCTTCGATCAATGCAATCATGTCTAAAGACATATTTTCTTTTGCATAGGAGAGTACCTAAGGTGACAGTATCCCAATCGCACATTTACACAACTTGACTTCCAGTTATCAGTACACCAGCTTAACTCAGGATTATGTATAAAAAGTGCAGAAGGATAAAACCAGTCATTAGAGGCATTTAGAAGGTGCATTGAAAATAAAGCATTCAATTAAACTTGCCAGTCGACAGTCCTGTCCTCAATTTAGGTATACAAGAAAGCAAATAAAACTATGAACCTTCTTGTTGTGACAGAGTATGGATTAATTTTTCCTACTTCAAAGTTTACTTTTCTTACACATGAACCCTTCCTCCAATCAATGTAATCATCTCTATGACTTCTTTTGCTTAATAGAGTATCTAAGCTGAAAAGTATCAGAATCAAAATTTACACAACTTGACTTCCAGATATCAGTAGAACTACTCTATCTTAACTCAGGATTATTTATTAAAAGTGCAGACCAATCATTACAGCCATTAAAAACTACACTCCAGAAGAATGTGCATTGGAAATAAAGCATTCAGTTAATTTGATAGTTGACAACCCAGTCCTCAAATTAGGTACACAGGAAAGTAACAAGACTATGAACCCACCAAAATATCTATAAAACTTTATTCATGTCATGACCAGCAACATTTTCTTTTTCTCATTAAGTATCTGAATTCACAGTATCTTAATCAAACAAGGTAAACATAATATTGACATCCTGGTTCCTGATCTACCTTCTAGACCTACTTGAATCAAGATTTCATATAGGGCTTACCTACTACAATTTGTTTTTGAAAGTTAGGTTTACTTATACATTTGGTATCCAAACTATAGTGAAATTCTCGATTTGGTACCTTAAGTTTAAAAATTTGCAATAAGGTACTTGAATTTTGCTTCTATCCATCAATTTGCACATAGGAGAAACTAATGGTCTAAAGGTGTTAGTCTTGTGTATAAACTAATGGACAGAAGAAAAGTTTTGAGTACCTAATTGCGAATGTTTAAACTTTAGGTACCAAATCAAGAATTTGACAAGGTTTGGGTACCAAGTGTAACTAACCCTTTTATTTCTTTATTTGGAAAAAAAAAAAAGATAGGTCAACATCGATGATTTTAAGACCTTGACAAGGGATACATTACAAAAGAAGATGTCTGTAAATTAAACACAACTATACCTTATATAAACCCTACACATATTTAGTAGTTTCGGAACTTTAAAATCTACATTGTGTTAAAATGATGTCATTATCAGTTGCAACAACTTAGTTTTGTTGCTAGCATTTTACCGCCAGAATTCATTTGCTATCACATGCTTACCAAAAAATTAATAATAAAGAAAAATAGTTTATTCAATTGTGTCTTACCTGAAAATGATAAATGTGAATAACAAACAGAACACCAAAGACTTTAGAGGATCATCCCAATATATCAGAGAAAGAAGCCACTTCCCAACTTCCATCACTGGATGAAGCAACTCCTGCAAGTAGAAATGTAAAAAAAGCAAAATGAGATGATAGAACAACTCATGGAAGAGGGGGCAACGATCAGGAAAACGAACAGAATGGTAGAGAATTAAACCTAAAATAAGTTGAAGACACTATCAAAAGTACAGTTCATATTAATCACTCCGCTAACCAACACTGAATGGCATCACTAACAGACACAGACATTTGCTCATGCAGCATTTACAGTGTTCACAAAGTAAATTTAGCTCTGTAATCAAAATTTAATTAACAAATCCAGTTAATCAAACTCCCTATCTCTAATAAAACTTATTTTCAGTTGAACAATGAAAAGGGGCAAAGAAGGGTTAACGATCTTGAAATTCTATAGCAAATAGAGGTATCTTTTGCGATACCTTCATTACAGCTAAATTGGTGTCAATGCCTTCTACTTTAACTCCATCAACTGTTTCTTGCGCCAGTACCACTTTTTTATAGTTGTCTCTGGATTCCTTAACTGTTCTCTCCAACAAACTCATCTCACCCACAGCTACTTCACCCACAACAAGTCCAGCCTCACTGGGATTACTTGAACTTGAACCAAACACAAAACCTAAGTTTGAAACCATTGCCAAGGCTGAGATTGAGTACATGCCACCTCCAGCCACAGAATTGTTATCCCGATCTAGTTCCCTTGAACTTGACATATTTGCAAGAGTTTCCAGGATCAAATCTCCCCCAGGTAATTGATCACAAAGATTAAACATGAGAAGAGACTCGAACTGAATGGAGTTTGAGGAACTAATTTCGTGAATGGCTTGCACACGTAAAATTCCAAGTACAGCTTTCGAAAGTGCGTCATCCTTTTGAATTCCAGTAATGTTGAACTTATTTATAAATCTATGAACATATAAAATTTCCCGGATTATTGCTAGCCAGTAATCACGCCGAGTATGCCCTTTAAGCTCAGGAAACTCTATAACAACTGGTTCTGATCTACAAGAAAAACACCATAAACAGTCAATAGAAAAATTATATACTCGGACAAGCTTTATGATAAAACCAAAACATGAAATGAATTTGCTGATTAGTTGAACACCAAAATATTACAGATTTCTATTGGCCAGTTACAAGAAGCAAATGAAATAAATATGCATCATGCCTTACAAGGAAATTGATTTGTACAGGACTGCCTTGTCAAAAAGTCGAGTACCCCATGGCCCAGTCAACTCAGGTTTAACAATTTGTTTTAGATCATCAGACAAATCATATCTTTTTGGTTTGTCATAAGATACAACACGAAGGGCTTCAAAGTACAATGCATGATCTGTCAGAATTAATCGACCTGCAGACATGCAAGGTCAAACTTAGAACAGGCTAAATATTGAATTGTATATTAAGCGACAACCAACACTATTTACCAAAGAGAGAGAGAGAGAGAGGAAAGGAAAAGTAAGGTTGCGTTCATAAATTTCATTAACAAAGATATCATATAGCTTATTGCATAAAATGTTTGCTATCCCATCAACTTACCTGGCCATGTTGATATTCCAACATGTTCAAGAACCGGTTGAGTAGTGACTGTCCCATCCACCTCAAGTATCTTTTCTTCTCTTGATGATCGAACAGCAGACAGAAGAGATGATTCTGATTGGCTCTTCATCTTTTTAATCACTCTATAGAGATCAAATTTTAAAATATTATATTCAGTTATGTGAACCTACTAATTATAGAAGCTGTCACAAATCACTAGGCCTTTGATGTGCTATGAAACTTCTATGGATGAATTTAAAAATAAAAACTCAAACCAATGGCATAGTCAACATCAGAATAGAGCAAATGGCCAAGAGATATATAGAAAAGTAACTAAATTATACTAAGCTTCTAAGCAAAACTTTATATATCATATAATTCATCATGTCAGTGGTGTTACCT